GTAGTACTAGCTTCAGCAGTAGTTGCATTAGCTTCAGCAGTAGTATTAGGTTCAGCAGTAGTTGCATTAGTTTCAGCAGTATTAGCATTAGTTTCAGCAGGAGTATTAGCTTCAGCTGTAGTAGAATTAGTTTCAGCAGTTGTAGCATTAGCTTCAGCAGTAACATTAGCTTTAACAGTAGTAGCATTAGTTTCAGCAGTATTATTATCTTCAACAGTAGTTGCATTAGTTTCAGCAGTAGTATCATTAGTTTCAGCAGTAGTAGCATTAGTTTCAGCAGTAGTATTAGTTTCAGCAGTAGTATTAGGTTCAGCAGTAGTTACATTAGCTTCAGCAGTAGTAGCATTAGTTTCAGCAATAGTATTAGCTTCAGCAGTAGTTGTATTAGTTTCAGCAGTAGTAGCATTAGCTTCAGTAGTAGTAGCATTAGTTTCAGCAGTAGTAACATTAGCTTCAGCAGTAGTAGCATTAGTTTCAGCAGTAGTATTTGCATCAGCAGTAGTTGCATTAGTTTCAGCAGTAGTAACATTAGTTTCAGCAGTAGTATTAGTTTCAGCAGTAGTAGCATAAGTTTCAGCAGTAGTAGCATAAGTTTCAGCAGTAGTAGCATTAGCTTCAGTAGTAGCATTAGCTTCAGTAGTAGTAGTATTAGTTTCAGCAGTCTGCAGTAGTAGCATAAGTTTCAGCGGTAGTAGCATTAGTTTCAGTAGTAGTAGCATTAGCAAAAGTACACTGAAGCAGATTTCTAAGAGAACAAAGTTTTGAATGGTTTATAAAGGTGTCAATGTATGCTAATGGGGAAAAATTGTTTAAATATTGTTATATAGTTTGAAAAGGTATAAAAGTTACAAAAAACTAAAGTCATAGCACCTATATCCTGAATGAGTTGAGCCCAAAACCGTAAACGGAAAACTACAAATATAAAAGTAGCAAAACACTGTTTAAAATAACTAAATGTTAGCTAAAATTAGCAAAATTATATCTAAAAGCTAAATGTAGCAAGACTAGCTAAAAAAAAAAAAATCTGTAAAATGCTAATGAAAAGCTCACAGTACAAGACTAGCTGAATGAAGCAACCCCTAAATAATAGCAACTCCAGATTGAAAGAATTATGACTTTTCCATTTTTAGGCTTCCGTACAAGGTTGACGCAGACGTTGATCAGTGAGCGGAGGTGTGGGAGGAAGGAGATGATGGGTTGGCGCTGTAGAGTCAGGCAGATTCCCTCGATCAAGTTGCTGGCAGCCTCCCACTCCACCTGTCTCCTGGAGAACCATGCAGTACGACCCCGTGATGACAGAAAACACGTGAATTAAAAACAAACTATCTACAAGGAGTGGAAAGGTAAATAAAATGTCATACAGTGTCTTACTTATATTGACCACAACTAATTTAGCAATAAAAGTATAAAAACATCCATGGAGTGAATACTTTTTCGAACTGTTGAAATTCTAAATATTTTCTTATAATATAAAAATGTAATTTAGAATAATGTTTAATATGCCCACTTACCACTGCATTTATTACCTTTTAATGAATCGTAGCCTTATGATTTTATTAAACAACATATATATAATAGATACAAACCGGATTCCAAAAAAGTTGGGACACTAAACAAATTGTGAATAAAAACTGAATGCAATGATGTGGAGGTGCCAACATCTGACATTTTATTCAGAATAGAACATAAATCACAGATCAAAAGTTTAAACTGAGAGAATGTATCATTTTAAGGGAAAAATCTGTTGTTTCCAAATTTCATGGCGTCAACAAATCCCAAAAAAGTTGGGACAAGTCCATTTTTACCATTGTGTGGCATCCCCCTTCTTCTTACAACACTCAACAGACGTCTGGGTACAGAGGAGACCAGTTTCTCAAGTTTAGAAATAGGAATGCTCTCCCATTCATGTCTAATACAGGCCTCTAACTGTTCAATCGTCTTAGACCTTCTTTGTCGCAGCTTCCTCTTTATGATGCGCCAAATGTTCTCTATAGGTGAAAGATCTGGACTTCAGGCTGGCCATTTCAGTACCCGGATCCTTCTCCTACGTAGCCATGATGTTGTGATTGCTGCAGAATGTGGTCTGGCATTATCGTTTTTATATTAGGGGTTTTTCTCAGCCAAGAAAAAAGTCCGATAGGAATTTTTTTCGCCTCCAACTCCTACATGTGTTCAGTTAACCACTGTTTTTGTCTGTCCAAACAGGTCTCACTTGTAAATGAGTCTTCGAGGCTCAATGTGATTTATCTGTTTAAATAAAGGTTGAATGAAAAAATCGTGTTGAAAAATGCAGGGTCTTCCCTGAAAGAGATGACATCCAGATGGGAGCATATGTTGTTCTAGAACCTGAACATAGTTCTCTACATTAATGGTGCCTTTCCAGACATGCAAGCTGCCCATGCCACAAGCACTCATGCAACCCTATACCATCAGTGATGCAGGTTTCTGAACGGAGCATTGATAACAACTTGGGCTATCCTTGTCCTCTCTGGTTCGGATGACATGGCGTCCCAGTGTTCCATAAAGAACTTCAAATCGTGACTCATCTGACCACAGAACAGTCTTCCATTTTGCCACACTCCATTTTAAATGACCCCTGGCCCAGTGCAAACGTCTGAGCTTGTGGCGCTTGCTTAGAAATGGCTTCTTCTTTGCACTGTAGAGTTTCAGCTGGCAACGGCGGATGGCACGGTGGATTGTGTTCACTGACAATGCTTTCTGGAAGTATTCCTGAGCCCATTCTGTTATTTCCTTGACAGTGGCATTCCTGTTTGAGGTGCAATGACGTTTAAGGGCTCGGAGATCACAAGCATCCAGTAGTTTTACGGCCTTGACCCTTATGCACAGCAATTGTTCCAGATTCTCTGAATCTTTTGATGATGTTATGCACGGTTGATGATGATAACTTAGGTCGTTTTCACACTAGATAGTCCGGTAGACTCGGTTCGGTTCGGGACCAATATTCATGAGCTCTTGTTTACATTTGAGCTGGTGAGTTTACATTCACACTGCACTGTGCAGTGAGTCAACCTGTTGAACCAACCTGTTCCCCCACTTGCCTGTGGGGGCGCTGCACCAAGAACTACTGAAAGAAACGACACAAAAACCTCTGAACACACATCTTCTTATTCTTCTGTAAATAAAAATAAAAACGAAGTGGCATCAAGTTTTAGCAGTTTTAGGAGTTATATTTTGTAATTTTTCAAAAATGGACTCAGCATGAGCAGAAGATGAGACAGAAGACCGTGGAGAATATTGTTTTTCCACACAAGGCAGCTGACGGCTCCATATAAGGTCAGAGAAATGCGTGTTTGTTTGTCCTGCGGAACGGGGTCCGGTCTGTTTACATTCACACTGCACTCGAACCGCGCTGGAGTTCGCTTCCAGTTTTAGCCCGGGCCAGAGTTCGCCTTTTTGTTTCGTGACAGAGTTCAATGGTGCGTTCACACCTTCCTAAAAGAACCGGACTTTCTAGGAAAACGAGCTAGAGTTCGATTAAAGAGGACTAAACAGGGCTAGTGTGAATGCACCCTTAAAAGTCTTTGCTATTTTATGCTGGGTAACACCATTCTGGTATTGCTGCACTATCTTTCTGCACAACAATGGTGGAATTGGTGATCCTCTTACCATCTTGGCTTCTGAGAGACACTGACTCTCTGAGAAGCTCTTTTTATACCCAATCATGTTGTCAATTGACCTAATTAGTGTTAATTGCTCTTCCAGCTGTTCGTTATATGCTCAGTTTCCTTTTTCCAGCCACTTATTGCTACTTGTCCCAACTTTTTTGGGATTTGTTGACACTGTGAAATTTTGAATCAACATATTTTTCCTTTAAAATGTTACAGTTACTCGGATTAAACTTTTGGTCTGTCATCTATGTTACATTACGAATAAAATATTGACATTTGCCATCTCCACATCATTGCATTCAGTTTTTATTCACAATTTGTTTAGTGTCCCAACTTTTTTGGAATCCGGTTTGTATATACATATTGAAAACAAAATGTAGCCAAGCTTAAAAACAGCTGTTGAGACCAGTGTTCCCTCTGAGCTCGTCTGTACTTTAAACTTTTTTCTTCTTTTAAAAAAAATTCTAAACTTAAAATTGAAATATCAAGAGTACAACTAAAACCTAAGAAGTGGATAACCTGCTCATAAACGTCTTTGTATCTTATTTAAATCTTTGTTTCGAAACATTTTTAATTAACTACAGAGTTTACTTTTATTCATATGTAAATTAAAAACTACGTGTTTAAATGTGAATGACATTTCCTTTAAGCTGAATGTTTGAAATTCACTTCACATTCATTTTTTTTAAATTAAGGTATGACTTTTGTTTCAAAAACAGCAAATGCAGATAATAAAAGGATTGAGTTTCAATCCAGATTTGTGAGTTTGATGCCCAAATCATTTTTTAAATAAAATAAAAAAAGCCCAGTTTTCAAATTTGTTTCTATACCTACATACCTACCCAGTGTGTAAATGGATTAACATAAACCATATTTCATATTAGAGTTAATGTCAGTTAAAATAAGCACATAAGAACTTTTATGATTTACAGATTATTTTATATTTTTTTAGAAAGCTGAAGCTTAGATAATTTAAACACAGGGTCATACAGCATTGGAACAGCATTTATATTATATTATATAATATTATATACACAATATTATATATTGACACGGTGGACTATAGCATTTTACTTTGTCATTTGAAATAATGTGGGAGTGTCAGCAGTACAGCACTGGACTGGTTTAGGTCCTGCTCAGTCGAGCGTACTTTCTGTGTCTGCCTTGGTGACCACATGTCCTCCTCTGCTCCTCCTGTGTGTGGGGTTCCACAGGGCGCAGTTTTAGGCCCCCTCCTCTTCACGCTGTACCTGCTCCCTCTTGGCTCTATTTTTTAGAAAATACGGGATCTCCTTTCATTGTTACGTGGATGATACACTAATATATGTCCCGTTAAAAGAAAAACGACTCTAACTCCCTGGGTCCTCATGTTTGCAGGACATAAAAGCATGGATGGCTGTGAACTTCTTAAAGTTTAATGAGGATAAGACTGTGGTGATCGTGTTTGAAAGCTCCATTGAGACTCCCAATGTAAATGTTGGTTTCTTGGCCTAGTACAGTACATCAGGCCAACTATTACAAACTTGGGGTCAAAGTCGATGCTGGACTAAAGTTAGAAAAGCACATCAGAGCTGTTGTTAAATCTATTTTTTTCCATCTAAGGCAGCTGGCTAAAGTAAAGCCGATTCTTTGTCAGTGGCATTTCGAAACAGTAATCTACACCTTTGTGACCACTCGGCTGGACTACTGTAAAGTACTCTATAAAGAAATCAGTGATTCATGTATCTCTCAGCTTCAGAGGGTACAGAATGCTGCTGCACAGCTTTTAACTGGCACACGAAAGTTTGACCACATTTCCCCTGTTTTAGCCTCCCTGCACTGTCAGCCCGTACATTTTTGGATTAATTTTCAAATTATTTTATTTGCTTTTAAAGCTCTAAATGGACTTGCCCCGCCCGATCAGTCTGAGTTGCTACATCCATATACACCTTCTTGATCACTCAGGTCATGTGATCAGCTGCTCCTGAGTGTGCCGAAGAAAGCGTAAGCTCAGAGGAAACCGTGCTTTTACTGTGGCAGCTCCTAAACTGTGGAACGACCTTCCCTTGGACATCAGGCAGGCCTCTTCCCTGCCTGTTTTTAAATCCCTTCTGAAAACCCATCTCTTCTCCATGGCCTTTGACACCGTCTGAGATGTGGACTTTTAATTATTTTAATTGTTCTTCATTATATGACTGTATGATTGCTTTATTATGTGTACAGCACCATGGTCCTGTGGGTGTTTAAAGTGCTCTAAAATAAAGCTGGTATGGTATATATTGAATTGTTTAGATTTAGAAGCTAATTGGTAACAAATGTCACACAATTTCCCCCCAATTAAAAAACTCTGTTGCATCCAGATGGTATATTTTCGTGCCTTCAGTTCCAAATATCATCATTTAAACTAATCTTTAAATTGGGCACCACAGTAGAGTGGATGCCCTCTGCTGAGAGGAAACACTGTCAGTGGTAGTTATACACTAGTTCCACACTCAAAAACACACCAAGATGAGCCTGCACAGAAACACACCGCAGCAACACTTACGGTACAGAAGCCACGAAGGTAGCACGACACGTTCACGTGCCAAGAAGCCATCTACTGCTCACAGCACGATACACGCACAGGGACACAGAGAAGAAGAAGTTGTGTTCAACAGACCTGCTGCACAGAGCCTGTGGGCGAGCGCACCTGAGCGTGGGCATCTTGTGGATCTTGTTGAACATGCGGTCCAGCCTCTTGAGGATGAGGATGAGGGCGGGCCGGACAGCCTCGGACGACCAGTCGGTGATGGGGAGCATCTCCATGATGTAGCGCCGCAGGCCTCGGCTCTCCATGGTCAGGGTGTCATAAGGCGCCAGCTTGAGGAGGGCGTGGGCGATTTCCGCTAACCTGTGGGGAAATAACAACCGACACACTTTTGACTTCTTCCAGCTATTATAATTTGGTGTACCAGAAGGCTCAGTCTTAGGTCCCACCCTCTTTAAAATCTACATAAATATTGTAGGTCAGATCATTCCAGATGCATCTTTACATTTCTACGCTGATGATACAGTTGTTTATTGTCGAGCTAAAACAATCGCTAAGGTTTTCAAGCTTTTGTAGAATGCTTGTGACATCATGCAGTCAGATTTGTTCGGTCTCAAACTGGTGCTAAATGCTGATAAAACCATAGGGATGTTGTTTTCAAACAGGAAGTCAGCAGTCCTTCCTTCTATTTTATCTATGAATGGTGTTCCTATTAAGTTTGTCGATTCTTACAAATACTTGAATATCTTGGTCGATTCACATCTCTTTTTTAAGCCTCATGTCAAAAACTTGGTAAAGAAACTGAGATTATTATTATTTTTTTTAAGAAAGAGATCTTATCTAATTCTGAATGCTAGGAAACACCTTGTAGCTGCTACTTTCCTTCCCTCCATTGACTACGGTGACATTATTTACATGAACACTCCTACAAGCACCCTGCAGATGTTGGATGCTGTCTACCACATTGCGCTAAGATTCATAACTGGCTGTAACTACCGTACCCATCACGGCACCCTGTATTCACTGGTTAAGTGGTCATCATTAACTTCACGTAGACTCTCTCACTGGTACATTTTCATCTTTAAATCACTTCTTCATCTGTTGCCTTCATACATCTCCTCCTACATGTCACGTCGTCAGTGCAGCTACAGCGTGCGCTATCAGGACACTATTACCTGCAGCATCCCCTCAGTATGGACCGAATTCAGCAAAAGGGCCTTCTCTTACTCTGCTCCTGTAACTTGGAAAACCTTGCAAAAAGATCTGAAGCTGTCGACTTTGATCTCTCTATGGGATTTTAATCAATTGTTAAGTTCACGACAAAAACCAATGCAGACGTTCCTATTTTTAGTATATTCCCCATTTCATAATGTAGCTTGTTTTTGTCTCATTTTATATCACTACTTTTATTTACGTTTCATCTTATATGCATTTTTTAATGACTGTTTATTGTTGTGTGCACCTCATCTGTGGTTCTTTGTTTAGGTCTCTCTTGAAAATGAGTCATTGTGACTCAATGAGGCTAACCTGTATAAATACATGAAATATACTCTACAATTTTTGGGTTTTAAGTATCAGGATAAACATAAATTGTAATTCTCTGTAGGCTGTTCTCTTCTTTACAGCATTACTTCTGTTTATTGGTTTGCAGACATTGGTTTCTGCACAGCTCTCTTAAAGTCCCACCACAGCATTTTATCAGGTTGATATCAGGACTTTCTGGATCTGGATCCCTCGGTTGTAGAGTTACTGCTGAGTTTGGTATCATTGTCCTGTTGCTTCACAAACCAGTTTGGTCCAAACATCAGCTGTTGGACCAACGACTTCACATTTGAATGCAGTTTTTGGTCTAAATAGAAGTTCATGGTTGGCCCAGTGACTATCATCTCCCTCACCCAGTATGCAAAAATCAAAAGTTTGTTGGACAACGATCATAAATCTCATCACCTCATGTGGGATTTGATGTCCAGCAGCTCCAGAGCTGTAACCCGAGGCTCACCAGCGACGTTCTGCAGGATTTTGAGTCTCGGCCCGCAGTGTTTGTAAAACTCTGTGCAGATATTTAGCAGGGACTCCCGCGGGCGGCGGAACTCCTCCCTGGCGATCCGCTCATCCAGCTCCTCCCGCGGCATTCGCTGACCCTCCTCCAGCAGGTGGAGATTGTCTCTGGGAATACAAACCTCCTTTTAGTTTTGTGTTTTTTTAAAGCCGCCGTCAAAAATTCAAATCATCGCCGACCTTGTGTTGACGCCCCCGGACATGGCGTGGTTAGCTGTAGTGCCACCCTTGTGGCCTTGATCACAGCGGGACATTTGTGGGGCTGTCATGGGTCTGTGACAGATACAACAATAAAAAATTTAACTCTAATAGCATTCTCTGCACTAAACAAATCATTGACGTGAGACAAACCTTGTTAATGTCTCCGAGCTGTAGAGCAGAGCTTGCAGAGACGTGGCCAGGGCGGCGATGGCTGCGATCTCGTCTCTGGCGGCGGACGCAGACTCCATCGTAACCGTGTTGCTCTTGAGCTTTTGGAGGTGGCAGGGAACCAACGCTTCAAGCACCATCAACATCTGGAGACTGGTGATCCACAGCATGAAGACAGGTTAGATGTAGAAAAGTTAAAGAGAAGATGCTTTCTTGATATTTTCTCTCACCTCCTGCAGGATTCAGGTGCGTAGGCCACCACGGTTACACATAACTTGATGGCCTCGCTGATGGAAAAGGCCAAGTCCTCATTGCCGTAACAAAAATCTGCAAAAATGAAACATGGAGTTAGATGAGACTAGTCTGCAGAAAATTCCAAGAACCACAAAGAGTTTTCTTTAGTGTGAATGTTTATGAAGCATTCACTCTATTGTGATCCATTTTTCTCCTGTACGTTTTTCAGCATCTTTCTCGTTCCACAACTTTTGTGCTATTTCAACAAGTCATGTATCAAAACATTCGGCTCTTTCAGGACAATCCTGCTACGTCTTTTGGTATTGGTGCTACTTTAGCTTTTTGAAATATTTAGTCTTTTCTGACATTTTTTTTCCCTCATAGAAAATGAATTGAGCTCATTTTCCATCTTTCAACTCTTTAGATCTGTTTACAACCTTTTACTGCTCCTTTCACATTTTATTCTGCTTCAGCTTCTTTGTGCAAATTTAAAACAAAATTCAGCTACTTTCAGCTAATTTCAGCTGTTTTGTGCTCCTTTCAGATTATTTTGCTAGCAACATCTTTCTGCTAATTTTAGCTTATTTATGCAAGTTTCAGTTTCTTCTGCTATTTCAGCTACTATTTAATTGTTTTTATGCTAATTTTAGCCTTTTTTTTTGGCTAATTCCACATTTTTTGCAATAATTTAATCTTTTTTCAGCCTAATTCAGCAAAAATTAGCTCTCTAAACTTCTAGTAATTTAAGCTTCTTTCTGCTGTTTTAGCTACTTTTCAGCTGTTTTTTTTCAATTTTCATATTTTTTTCAGATAATTTCCACTTCTTTGTGCTCATTTCTGCTTCTTTCAGCCTAATTGGGCAAATGCGTTCTTTCTGCTTTCTTCTGCTAATTTAAGCTTGTTCTACCTGTTCAGCTACCATTTTAGCAATTCCTAGCTAATTTCAGCTGTTTTAAGATAAACTCAAGTTTTTTCTGGTAATTTTTGCTACTTTCAGCCTATTTAACTAATTTATGCTAATTCCAACTAGTTATGCTACTTTCAGCTTTTATCTACTACTTTCAGCTGTTTCTGCTCTTTCAGCTAAAATTTTGCTCTTTTGCTGCTAATTTGAGCTTTTTCCAGCTAATTCCACATTTTTTAAGCTCATTGCAGTTCTTTCCATTTCCTTTGGGTAGTTTAAGCTTCTTCCTGCCTATGCAGATACTTTTCAGCAATTTTTTTTTGTTGCTAATTTCAGCATTTTTAGCTAATTTTCTATTTTTTGTGCTCATTTCTTCTTATTTCAGAGAGTCAGAGTCAGAGATTCTTTATTGTTGTTCGCATCACATGTGGTGGAACAAAACTATGTACACAGGGTCCCATTTAAACTTAATTCAACAATTGTGTTCTTTCTGCTTTCTTCTGCTAATTTAGACTTGTTCTTCCATTTCAGCTACATTTCAGAATGTTTTTTTTTAGCTATTTTCAGCTGTTTTTCAACAAGTTATTCAGCAATAATAGCTAAGTTTGGTTTATTTGATTTAAAATAAACAGACAGAGAAGCTCTATAAAAACACTGATTAAACCTGGCGATAGTTTCATCATCACTGACTTTTCCCACAGCAGTTTCACCCACAAGCTGTAGGTTTGAGTTTACCAAGAGAGCGAAGAGGTTTTTCAGCCTTGACCAGCTCCAGAGCGTCCAGAGCGTCCTGGGTTTCACCCTCCAGAGAAACCAGCAGGTCAAACAGACACTGAGCCGACACTCCTTTAGACAAACCAGTGCTGGAGCTCGTCTGGAATGAGCAGAAAGATGGAAAGCTTTAAATGCGATCTGTTCAGATTGCAGCAACTGTCGTTTTTTTTTTTTTTATTCCGAAATCTTACGGTGAATTCCAGCAGTGGAGCCACACTGGCAAACAGCTGGAGGATGAAGGGCTTTCTGTGGAGGATGTAGAACTGTCGGCAGGAAAATTCAATGCCCTGCCGCAGCAATGGGTTGCTCTCGTAGTCAGCATAGACCTGCCAGAGACAGCCAGACAGGAAAAGTTTTAGAAGGTTAAATAAAGGTGCTGTTGTGGGTATTTTACTTTATACTTAAAAACAGAGCTGGGAGAGTTATTTAAACAAATATATTATAAGTTCATAATTGTTCGTACCTGGAGCATGGTGGGAAGGATCCACTGGTATCCGCTCAAGGAGAAGAGGTGGTTGAAGTGGACGGCCGTGTTGATGGCGGTGGCGGTGTACTGCCTGAGGAGTGAGCTGTCCTCTGGATGCAGAAGCAGCGCCCCGTTGAAAACGTTAAGGAACAGCATCATCTCATCGCCCCATGGGTATTCACTGGGCATGCCCAGGAACATCTCCTCCAGCAGCTTGATCCACAGCACCTTGTGGAGGGTGTCCAAACCGAACAGTTCCTTACCTGCAGGAGTGAGGACAACACAGTCACGTCTCCACAGTCTTTAAAAGAATCTGTTTGAACTGTTGATGATAATTATTTCACAATTTGTTTCACCTTGTGGCTCGTTGAAAAGAGAAAACTCTGCATCGATAGCGGTTCGTGGGAAGGAGGGCAGCCGAAGCAGGTCTTCCTGCAGCAGGGAGACGTGGGACTGCTTGTGCACAGCTGGAATGTGTTGCGTGAGGGAGATGAGGAAAAGCACCCGTCCAACCTCCTCTAATTTACGAGAAAACACCTAGACAGGTAAAAATATTAAAGGTTTAACCAATATAGGGTCTTGTTTGCTTTTCTGCAATGGGTTAATTTCAGCAGCGTTATTTCCCAGAAATGGAAAACCTTACCTGTTTCTGAATGAGCTCTTGGCCTTTCTCGGGCAGCATGTGGACAAGGTTGAGCTGGGGAGAAACTGACCTCCGGAAAGGGTAGATGTCTCTTACGTAAGTCTGAGGAACAGAAGCAGCAACACTGAAATACATACTCAGCACAGAACAAAGAAAACCAAAATCAAGAAATCCCATACTTCATTTAAATGAGGATATGTTTTTATCTGCTTCTATACCAATAAAATTAACTGTGTATAGACTGGAAAAGTCCAAACCTTTTGTCTATTTTACAACACAGTTGCCAAAAAGCCCAATATTTTTTTTGTAAATTTACTAAAAATATTGTTTCCCGACAAATACTAGCTCTAAACAAAGTCTATTTGATACCTTGTTATAATGGATGAGGTTCCATCTTTTGTCCATGAGGAAGAAGTGTGCTGACCTAGCCTCTGGAATGTTGAAGAATTCAAGACATTCCTGGTGAAGGAAACAACGTAACAGAAGATAATTTGTTAATAAGATAATAAGACATACAGCTGAACGGTTTTTATCAGGGGGCTTAAAGGAAGAATATTTAAAGAAAATAACAAGAGGTTCAATAATACACCCCTGAGGCACACCACAAGTCAGAAACACCAAAGAAGAAGCATCAGTATGAATAAAAACAGTAAAAAAAAGGTTAGACAGGTAAAACATCACCAACACATTTTTTAAACAATCAACAAGAACACCCTGATCAACAAAATAATTCTGACAACAATAAACAGTCTCATTTGATCAATCCAAACCAGGTAACAGAAAACAACTTGTTCTTAAGTCTGCAGCAAAGAGCCCCTTAAATCAAGTCTTAAGACATGTTTGGCTTCTCTAATTAGGGTTTACTCTGTTTTAGCAGAAGAAAACTCACAGACATCTAGTCAAGCAGTTGTATAGAACAGCTATGTTCAATAAGATCCCTAGGCTTTAAAGACAGGTAAAGCTGAGTATCATCAGCAGAACATTAATAAGACATACAGCTGAACGGTTTTATCAAGAGGCCTAAAGGAAGAATATTTAAAGAAAATAACATGAGGTCCAAGAATACACCCCTGAGGCACCCCACAAGTCAGAAACACCAAAGAAGAAGCATCATCAATAAAAACAATTTAGAAAATGGTTAGACAGGTAAAACATCCTCAAAACATTTTTTAAACAAATAATAACACCCTGATCAACAAAAAAATTCTGACAACAATAAACAGTCTTATTTGATCAATCCAAACCAGATAACAGAAAACAACTTATTCTTAAGTCTGAAGCAAAGAATTCCTTAAATTTAAGTAATCAGCTGGATAGAAATATAACTTTAAGCCTAATTAATATACATACTAAGGGGTACAGCTTTACCTTCAGCAGGGCATCAAACTGTGTGTCTTCATGAACTGGTAGCTGTGTAGGAATATCACATTCGTTCTGACCATGAACCACCAGTGTTTTGGTACCTGAAACAACAATGCAAAAAATGTTATGAAGGTTTCTATTTAGATTATTTACTATTAATGGGGTTAAATGGGACTGTATGACATAAAAAAATCAGCAGGTGGACCTGGCATGGATGCAGTGACCAGCAGTTTGACCTCACACTGCTCCTTCTTCATCGTCTGCTTTAGGTCCTTAAAGAAGAGGCCCTCCACGTACCCAACTACCTCCCACAGGAAGGTCAACGTGGCTGAGATGGCATCCATACCCCACTCGCAAGGAGTGCGCACAAAGTACATTATGAGCCCCACCTAGAAAAATGATTTTTCTTCAAAAGACTGAATTTGATCTAAAATATCAAACTTTAAAAGCTATCAGAGGTTTATCTGATGTCTCACCAGGTAGTTAAAGAGGATGTGAGAGGTCTGAGCCGGCAGATCTCCGATGTTGAGCAGCAGCTTCCTCAGCATGTAGATCAGCTCATCCTAGAGTAAAAAACAAAACAACAGACCATTTGTTTAAAGTTTTGAGGCTGTAACATGTGTAGCTTTAATTCCACCTGTAATAATTTTAAAAAATGTGATGCACCTAAATAATTTTTGAAACATTCCCCCACCTGCCTGTTGCTCACAGTGAGTTTTTCCAGGAAGTGGCGGAGAACCAGAGCTGGATCTTCAATCAGACAGTTCCACAGGATTTGCTGAGCAACGGCGCTCACTGAACAAATATTAGAGACAATGTTTACCTCAAGAACTCTCACAGGAATCTTACTTAAGATAAACTTTTTGTTGTAAAAGGCAGTTAGTTAGGCCTAAAAGACTACTGACAAAATATTTATCTTCAAATCAAATTCTGTGTTGGACTGACCAGCTACGCCGTCCTCTCTGACTTCTCCGTCTTCCATGAGGTGCACTATCGGCAGGACTGCGGCACAGATGCATGCTGGGAAGACAGCTTGAGGTGGCTGTAGCATGTGGTGAGTAGGAGTGTGTTCTGTTGTGTTTTCTTCATCTGTATATTGAAAATAGATGTATATAATTTAGGCAAAGGTGTGCAATATATCTGATATAGAAATATATCATTCCAAGTTTTTCCTTAAAAAAATATAAAAGATGACAACATATATATATATGTATGTATATATATATATATATGTATGTATGTATGTATGTATGTATGTATGTATGTATGTATGTAT